ATTTCAAATGGAAAAACTTTTCAAATGTCTACCGGCATTGAGATTGAACTTCAACAGGTCACATGTCCCAGAATGACTCGAGTTTCAGAATTCACAAGCAAAAAGATAAAAAGAAAAGAACGCTGTTCTTCTAAAACTAAAAGTCATCTCTTGAAGCACAAAGCACCAACAGGATTTAGCACCTTACTATAGTCTACCATATCAATAAGAAACAACAGAATACCAATATCACGTATAAATTAGCTTTGAATTGAGATAAATAATATGATGCATAATAAAGTCATCCACAACAAGTAGTTGCAAAATGGATAAACTCCCCATTGTTGTAGCAGCTATACAACAAATTGCAGCCAAGTTTCATATATGTGAAAAATAAATTCGTTATAATTGTGCTAGATGTAATACCTTCACCACAAGGAGACTTCCTAGTGGTAATGTTAAGAACCTTGGTCGGCATTCTCACTGGTCCCTTGACCCTAAGCCTCTTGTCCTTGGCACCACGTACCAAATCAGCACACACTATTAATAAGATTCAGGTCAACCAAATATCAATTTTATACTAAATATAATAATATTCGAATTTTCAAAAAATTCTTTACTAATCCTATTTAAAAAATGAGAACATCCAAACAAGTTATCCGGACGAGCCCATTTGCAAAACAATTGCTCTTCATAATCCAAGAATCAATTTTGGATCATCCCTCAGAACTTGTTATAGTCTATGCATAACTGAAGTAGCCACTCAAAAAACTAGGTCAATTATACTTTCAAGTTACTTATTTTACCAAATAAAAAATTCAATGTTACTTCCTTTTTATGATCCTGTTCTCGAACTACAATAAACCAATGCAAAAAATAAATACCAGACAATTACTTAATTTAAAACCCATATAGTAAAACAATGCATACGAGCCAAGCCAACGGAGAAAAATAATACAAAAATAATTATCAGCACTCCTAAGATTAACTGAATACGCATTACAAAAAAATATATATATATAGCATTCTCCACAAGAGTAATTTTTGCAATAAGACAGTTAGCAGACCATGACCTAAGAATCCAATCACATTAGAACAAGATAGCATACCTTTCTCGAGATTCTTAACATTTTTGGAGGAGAGAGTGATGCGGATCTTGTGAATCTGTTCCTGAGGCTCCTCTAATCCAGGTTTCGTCGGCTTCATCGCTGCGTACGCCATAATTTCCCTTTTCTTTCTTCTGCAATACAGACAGGGTGAAATATTATTTCATGCTCGTAAAAGATATCAAACCTAAGTTTACAAAT